AAGAGTTTTCCTACTTAGACCGAGGTTTTCAAATTCTTTCTGAGTTGATAACTCCCTAGTTTGTGGATGAGATTCTGGCAGTACTTTTTTGAAGATGTTTATTTACTTTTAAGAGAGAGAGTGATCTGGGGAGGGGCAGAGAGAGAGGGAGACACAGAATCCAAAACAGGCTCCAGGCTCTGAGGTGTCAGCACAGAGCCCAGTGCAGAGCTCGAACCCACAAACTGTGAGATCATGACCTGAGTCAAAGTCAGATGCTTAACAGATTGAGCCACCCAGGTGCCCTGATTTTAAGTTTATGTATTTATTTTGAGAGAGAGAGTGGGTGAAGGGCAGAGAGAGGGAGGGGGACAGAAGATCCAAAGCAGGCTCTGTGCTTATAGCAAAGAGCCAGATGCGGGGCTTGAACCCATGAACTGTGAGATCCAGACCTGAGCTGAAGGGGGGAGACTCAGCCAACTGAGCCACCCAGGCACCCGTGGCGATAACGTTTTTGCTAACAGCCACCCAGGCACCCGTGGCGATAACGTTGTTGCTAACAATCTCAAGCCTCTTTTGTACCCTAGGGGCCAACAGGCTGCACTGGTCCTGAGTGAGGAAGATGAGAAGGAAAAAATATGTTTCTGCTGTGGCTTTAAGTCTATCCAACCACTGCTGACATGCCCCCAAGAAAACAGGGAAGAGAAAAATGCAGGGAAAGCCTTGTGGGAGCAGCTGCTTGTAGGGGTGAGGAGGAAGGGTTGAGAGTTGGGAGAAGGCCAATGGGCTGTGGGGCTCTAGAATATTCTCCAAAGTGGGAGTGCAGCCTGGGAGGCAAATGCCGTCAGTGACTTTCCTACTTTTTGTCATATATTTGCTGGAAGGTAAAATTGACTTTGTGAACAAGCACAGTTATACACACGCATACCCGAGAATGTTGCAGGAGACGGTATTCTTTCTTCATGTGTCATAAGTCAACATTTTCTGTTCTCTTCTGTGCTGTTCTGTGCCATGCTGTGCAATGTCATTGAAACAAATCCTAGTCTCAAATGTCTACATTTAACTTAGGACTCTGCTGGCACACACTCTATAAACCTTAAAGGCAGAAATGAATCACAGCAGCCATTATTTTTTAGACGAAAGGCTGGTGGTGGGCGGCAGGTATGATGGTGGCTCCCGCGTGGTGTCATTGACCTGCTCCCTTATCTTGCTGGCATGAGGTGGCGTCTGGACCCGAAGCAAGCCCAGGCCCTGCCAGATCTCCTTTATCTTCTGGAAGTCTTGAGCCAAGTGTGCACATAGATCTCTCGTGAACAGCCCCGAGCTTCCTTTATAGGTCACCCGTGGCATCAAGGCCACGGTGGAGGAGAAGCAGATTCGGATTTTAGTTGTTTTTGTGGTTGTCACGCAGTCACTTTTGTCCCTGCTGTTTCACACCCAGCTCCTTTCATAACTGCCAGCCTGGCCAGCCTCTGGTGACGTGGGGCGCAGTACTGGACACAGAGGTAGCAGCCTTACGGACTATTTCACTGACTTGCTGTCACCTGTGGCTCTTGCTTCTTTGATCCCTCCTTGACCCTAATGGTCATGATCTACAGGGCGAACACCACTGCCATTGCTTATTCATTTGGGAATAGAAAAGAACTTAGAGCTATTTATTTACACTTGAGTTTATCTCATCTAAAACGCCTATTTCTGTGTCCATTCTTTTAAAAATTTTATTTATTTATTTATTTAAAAATTTTTTAATGTTTCATTTATTTCTGAGAGAGAGAGGGAGAGACAGCATGAGCAGGGGAGGGTCAGAGAGAGAGGGAAACACAGAATCTGAAGCAGACTCCAGGCTCTAAGCTGTCAGCACAGAGCCCGATGCAGGGCTCGAACCCATGAACCTTGAGATTGTGACCTGAGCCGAAATCAGAAGCTTAACCGAGCTACCCAGGCACCCCTGTGTCCATTTTTAATGTAAATAGATATAGTCTATATTAATAAGTACTTATAGTTGTAAGTAGTTTATAAATAATTCTGTCAAAGATGTTCCATGCCCTAGTTTTTGTTGTTGTTTGGTTGTTTTTGGTTTTGTGTTTTTGTGTGTGTGTGTTGGTTTTGGGTTTGTTTGGTGTTTTTCCTCAGACTTTTGAAGGCCACTGCCTGGGAAGCCCTTGTCCAGCTGGGAGGGAGAGAGCCGTGAATGCTGCCTGCTTGAGGCCTTCCTTCTTCAGGAGTGGATTTATGCTAACTGGAGACCTTGATGCAGAATAGTGGGGGCCTTGGGCACCAGGGTTATATTTGCCAAGGCAAGAATTAGACACAGGGCTTGGCAAGGTCTAGGGTGTTTTGGGGGGGCGGGGCGGGGTGGAAATGTGAAATCAGCCCTCCAGCCACCTGCCATGTTGGTGTGCCCCCAGGGCCTTTCGTCACCCCCAGCATGATCTAATATGGTCCCTTCAGTGTGTGTTTTTGGTTGTCCTGCGTAAAAAACTTTTTCCTGACACAAACTGTATGCCAGCCCAGACCATCTGCAGAAATGCTAGGGGTGATACTTCAGAGAAAAATATTTGAGATCATTATATATTCAGTGACTCTCTCCACGAGTGACACGGCTAGATGGGACAAACCTGGCGCAAGCAGTGGTACCTCACAGATTCAGTGAGGCTGAACGAGGAAACCAGAATTAAAGTCTTTTTTTATGGTAGTAGCAATTTCGCCTGAAAGGTTGCTGAAAGCGTTTATCACCTCAAAATCTTTCTTTCTTTCTTTATTTATTAAAAAAAAAATTTTTTTTTTATGTTTTATTTATTTTTAGGAGAGAGAGAGAGACAGCGTGAGCAGGGGAGGGTCAGAGAGAGAGGGAGTCACAGGCTGAAACAGGCTCCAGGCTCTGAGCTGGCGGTCAGCACAGAGCCCGACGCGGGGCTCGAACCCACGAACTGCGAGATCATGACCTAAGGGAAAGTCGGACGCTTAACCGACTAAGCCACCCAGGCGCCCCCACCTCAAAATCTTTAAAATAAGCTAATTAAGAATGAAAATGCGGAGTGAAAGTCATTCAAGAAATCGGGCCTCGTTGTTATTGTAGTGGTTTCTCCCAGTGGATTTAGCTCGTAGGGGACTGAAGGCTGATATATAGCTCTAACGTATAGTTCCGTCTGTCTCCAAAACAACAGGGAACAGTGTAAATAGAGCATATAGCTTATATTATGCAAAATCTATATATACTTATTGTCATAGACAAAAAAAAGTAGAGACACACTAAATAAGTGAGCCAGGAGTCTGTTCTCTTTCTTCTCCTCAACTTTGGGGATTCAGAGCAACACATTGAGTTTTCCCTTGGGGCTCTGTCTTTATAGATACATAAAATAGCAGGACCACAAGTTCATTTGCATTCATTTGCATGTGATCTGCATACAGCAGCACAGATTACATTGTATTTCCTGGTGTTTTCCGGACTTTCTTCTTTTTCTTTTTTTTTTTTTTTTTCCCTCCTGTAAGCCTGTCAAGATACTCTAAACCATAAATGACATCTGGGAAAGAAGAGAGCAAAAATAACAAAAGTTAATGATACAAATGCTTTCTGTTTCCAAAGTACTTCGAGTTTTTGCATTTTCCAGAGACAGAAGTACATTGGGATAAATATCAGAAAGACTGCTAAATCAGTTGTTAAGAGAACAGTGCTGTTTCTTTCCTCCTAAATTGCAACCGCAGTCTACCCGATCTGAGTTGTTTGGTACAAATGCCCCTTCTCTCTACATTTTTATGTTGGTTGTAGAAAAAGATGAGTGTTTGGTGTGCTCCAGCTTCGTGGGAAGATTGCACAAGGTCTGTCTCCTGTTGACCTACCACAAGGAGTGAGACCACAGATTTAATTTAAAGCCATACCAAGTGAAATGCATGGTCATAAGGAAAGATGTTGTGGCCTGGTTTTGCAATAAGGAGAGGAAAGAGAACTTGAATTTGTATGTCTTCCTCTCTTTCTTTCTTTTTTTTTTTTTTCCTTTTAAGATGAGGATGGGAAAATTCTTATCATGTGACACAATTTCATAATTTACTTAAAAAATTCTTTTGCGGAAATAAGATTTCCCCGTTCCTAAACTTGAACCCGTATTGCTTCAGCTTACTGCATGAGAACCAAAGGGGAACAATAAGAAGTGAAACAATTTAAGGCAAGTAACAACTCTAGAGCAGAAACTTTGAACACCTTAAGAGACATAAAAGTTTTAAATCTATTTCAGTGTTTTAATATTTGTATTTATTATAATAAGCATAGAGAGTGTTTGAAGTCGTACTATAGTTAGACGTTTATTTTGCAGCCTCGGTGCCTCTTGACATGAGCATTGTGGATGTTGGGTCAGACATAAGCTCACATTCCAGAAGGCAGGATGCACTAGGTGTGGTGCTGTTAACATCAGCTGCATTATTTAAATTCCCTACAGCCTAATGTTGCAAATATTTTTATTTTTTTAAGCTTTTTACTTTTTTTTAACGTTTCTTTACTTTTGAGAGAGAGAGACCGAGAATGAGCAGGGGAGGGGCAGGGAGAGAGGGAGACACAGACTCTGAAGCAGGCTCCGGGCTCTGAGCTGGCAGTCAGCACAGAGCCCGACGCGGGGCTCGACCCCACGAACCGCGAGATCATGACCTGAGCCGAAGTGGGGCGCTTACCCGGCTGAGCCCCCCAGGCGCCCCTCCCTGGGGGTTTCTTAGCCCCGCCAGGCAGGCAGAGGTGGGGGGTTAAGATCAGGCCTTGGCAGCCGGCGGTCCTGGGTTGGAGCCTTGGGCCCTCAACTTCCTTGAGTTCCTGTTTGTTCACCTAACGGTGAGGAAATAGGTCCTGTGTCCCCCGTGTCCCACAGCGGTCCCGAGGATTCGGAGGTGTCGCACAGACTCCCCACTTAACGAATGCCGTGGTTCTTGCTGTGAATGCGGGGGAGAGGGGACCAGAAGCCTAGGTCTCCCTGCAGGTGGACTCACTGCCTCTGTTCTTGTCCTGTTTCTTTCCTGCTGCCTCTCCTCGCCCGCAGGACGGCTCCCTGGGGAACATCGATGACCTGGCCCAGCAGTACGCAGACTATTACAACACCTGTTTCTCCGACGTTTGCGAGAGGATGGAGGAGCTCCGGAAGCGGAGGGTGTCCCAGGACCTGGACGTGGTGAGTGCGCGGCCCAGGGGCCATGCTGCTGCCTGGCGGGGCTGCTCCCCGCCCTGCTCCCCACCCAGCTCCCCGCCCTGCTCCCCACCCAGCTCCCCTTCCCGGGGCTGCTCCCCGCCCTGCTCCCCACCCAGCACCCCTTTCCGGGGCTGCTCCGTGCCCTGCTCCCCACCCAGCACCCCTTCCCGGGGCTGCTCCGTGCCCTGCTCCCCACCCAGCACCCCTTCCCGGGGCTGCTCCCCGCCCTGCTCCCCACCCAGCTCCCCTTCCCGAGGCTGCTCCGTGCCCTGCTCCCCACCCAGCTCCCCACCCAGCTCCCCTTGCCGGGGCTGCTCCGTGCCCTGCTCCCCACCCAGCATCCCCACCCAGCACCCCTTGCCGGGGCTGCTCCGTGCCCTGCTCCCCACCCAGCTCCCCACCCAGCACCCCTTGCCGGGGCTGCTCCCTGCCCTGCTCCCCACCCAGCACCCCCTCCTGGCCCCTCTGACCGGCTTTCTTGTGCCTGGAGCATCTGTCCACAGGCTGCTGCACTAGTTTGGGGTAAAAAGTTTAGACCCCAAAGGATTAATCATCCGGTTCTATGATGATCACATAAATGAATATTGGCTAGGGCAGCATGACCGAATATATGTATTCATTAAAAGGCTAAATTTTATTTATTTAAAAAAATGTTTTTTTAAGTGTATTTTATTTTGAGAGAGAGACAGAGAGTGAGTGGGGCAGGGGCAGAGAGAGAGAGGGAAACACAGAATCTGAAGCAGGCTCCAGGCTCTGAGCTGTCAGCACAGAGCCTGACGTGGGGCTGGAACCCACGGACTCTGAGATCATGAACTGAGCAGAAGTCGGAGCTTAACCGACTGAACCACCCAGGTGCCCCTAGATTTTATTTTTTAACTTAAGTAAAAAGAATGTTTTTACTCCTGGCCAGTCAGTGTACACTACATTTTTATGGACTCGAAGCCCAAAGAATGTCTAGGCTAGTTCTTTCCTTCCGTCCTTTTCTCCCTTCCTTTTTAAATTTATTTTTAGATAAAATAAAATTTAAAGAAGCCAGAAATGACCCTAATCTCTCACCTGGTAATTAGCATGTTGGTATTTTAGCAGATCTCTGCTCGGTGTGTTTTTATATCAGCAATATAATTCTTGCTTTTTTATTTAATATTTTATCATAGTTCCTATAGTTCCTCGATGTCATTAAGACCGCTTCATAATCACCATTTTTCATGGCTCCATTCTCTCACCGAGGTGTTGAAATTCATTTGGCTATTTCATGAAGACCTTTGTAGAATTAGTGCAGCATTGAAACTTGCATTTGATAGATAGTAATTAAATTGCTTCGGTCTGTCTCTGTAATCTGTATGTTTGCTCATGTTTCCATGCAGCACAATTGCTACAAAAAGTCTTACTGAGGCTTCTTCATTTATTAATTTAAATTTTCATCATATATCCTCTTTGGTTTCATCCTGGCTCAGTGCTTTTCAAATTGTTTTATTTCACTGTGGTGATCCCTTCGGGCCTAAGCCTTCCTGTCTCCATATGCAGATCAACTCCTTTTTGATCATCTTTTACACATTGGAGGGGAGAAGGGGCCTATATGGATTTGTTCTGAAAAAGATTCTCTGCCTTTAAAACAAAAAGTTTGAGAGAACGGCTGATTTACTTGAATCCTTTCTTAAAAAAATTTCCATAAATCTGCTTAGGGTAGGAATAAAAAAAAAAGCAATAATTAAGAAACTAAGAACAGATCATTCTTTTATCACTAATTGCTTTTATGTTATAAAGGACTTATTATATAATGGACCCAACAACTAGTTTAGGCACCTCAGTTATTCTGTAAGTGGACGTGATTCATTTCTACAGTAAGACTCTGGCATTCCTGTGCATTTTAATTTCATTCCTTAATTCAACCTAAGTGAAGAATCCTTAGGTCAGGAGTAACAGCATATGACTATCAGATAATTATTGATTCTTTTTCCTTTTTGCTCACTGAGTTGTTGGCAGTGGTGAGAGTCTGTATAATCGAGTTGATCGAGTCTGGGAAGCATCGATTGGGGGCCACGGGCCACCATCCTGCGAGCCTGAGTCCGTGGCCCAGGCAGGTGCTGACATCATCATTGCCAAGGACATCTTTCCTATAACTTTGTCCTCTGGCATGTGTGAATGGGAGGGTCATTTCCTTTTTTTAACAAAAGTAACCTCGTGTGGCAGAAGACTCAGTTAAAATTAATTAGGCTTTTATTTTGAGGGATAGTTAATGAAACAAGACTTTTTTGGGGAGACAAGAATGTAGCAGAACAACAACGGAAAAGGTGGACTGAACTCTTGGATATTGTATTTTTGACTTTGGATGATAGCCTGGTAGCATACTTGGTGGCTTCCTTGCACATTTTGCCACGCGAGGAAAGGATTGCTGTGAATTGGTGGATGCTTCCTGCTTGTGCCAAAACTCTAGCTGGTTAAGAGTTGGGGTTACCATAGTCCTCACAAGGTGTTTAGGAACCTTGGAGGGCAGCGTCTAGGTAGGAGAGAAAGCCTGCTTGGCAGTGGGGTAAATCACGTCTTCCCAGTTAGACAGATGGGCCTAATTTGTTCCAGAGCTGCAAAAGACAGTCTGGAGGGAGGGGGAAAAAAAAAACCCAAAACTCCACATGAGCTTAATTAGTTCTCATCAAAGGTGCAGGAATGTAGTAGTGGGTAAAATTGATGGGAGCTCATTCGAGCCAGGCTGGAAACTTCATTCATCCTTTATACTATAGTTAGTGAGGAAAGAAAGATCCCAAACGGACAATTTTCTATGAAATTGCAGGCAGTTTGCAGAGGTAAAGGGGAGCTCTTAAACTGCTGACTGTCAGGTTAGATGCCATGTGTTCTGTGTGTCATTTGTGTGCTTCCGGAGTCTAGAAGTCCATGTTAGATGTTACTTAAGATGTGTTGAGGTCACCCCTCATTCATTCAGGCCAGGTGCAACAATAGCGACGTATTGGAAGTTCCCTCTCATGGTGGTTAGCTCATCACAGACTGAGTCCTGATGGGAACTCATTTTCTTGAAAAGCAGTAACTTTCACTCCATAATTCTGCCCTTTTGTTGCATATTCTCTCGTTTTTATTTTATTCATTTTATTGCATATTGTTCCACCTTCGGACAAGTAGACGAATTTCTCCCCTGCTTGACTCTTGGTGCAGCTTTGGGTCTGAGGGCCTGTGACTTTCTGTGTCAGTAAGCAGCCCCCTGAAAGCTGAATCGAGGTGGCTTGGAAAAGAAATAATCCACCAAAAGCAGTAGGAAGAATACATTAGGAGCCTAAAGCATCTTCTACGAAAATAAGTAGCATTAAGTTTGTTGTGTCTGCTGTAGAGAAAGTCCTTCAGAGACCATCTTGAATATGGGGTTTTCAGTGATGGGTTGAAACAGTTTATGACTTTGTTTCATTTCAGATTCTCTAGGTGAGTTTTGGCAACTGGGAGAATATTCAAAAATAGAGCAGACATTTAAGGGGCGCCTGGATGGCTCGGTCAGTTGGGTGTCCGACTTCAGCTCAAGTCACGATCTCACGGTTCGTGGGTTCGAGCCCTGCGTCGGGCTCTGTGCTCACAGCTAGCTCAGAGCCTGGAGGCTGTTTCAGATTCTGTGTCTTCCTCTCTCTCTGACCCTCCCCTGCTCATGCTCTCTCTCTGTCTCTCAGAAATGAATAAAACATTAAAAAAATTAAAAAAAAAATAGAGGAGACATTTAGATATTGGTGTTTGGCTTTAAAAGTCGAAAAATGCATTGTCTTTAAGAGCCAATTACATGTCAACTGGATAGCAAACCAACCAAAAAGACCCCCCCCTCCTGCCCACAGAGATGCTTGACTTAACCCTGAAAAATAAAAGGTTTTGATAATTATGTTAGTAATTAACTTTCTGGACTGGATATCAAGCTACTTTTCCAGGACCTAATCACCCGGCTCCCAATTTGAATAAAGCCCTTACTTGATAAAGTGTTTTTGGGAGCCAGTTAGTTTAGATGAAGGCAACAGAGAACACAGATGGGTGAAAATTCAACAGTATAAACAGGGATTATGATTCAAATTTATAGCTATGGAGAGAGGTTTTATTTAGCACCAAACGGGCCCTAAAGGAACGGTATGTCTGGACCACAGCCTTTGCCTCTGCTGGGGATTGGGACATTAGTACTTGTGAACAGCAGGGAACGTGCCCATATTTCCACACATTTGGTACATCCCTGAGCACTGTGTGTTTTTTTGGCTGGACAACTCTGCATTTGGAAGTGATACGGCTTTCCAAGTCCATAATGGGCCCATCTCTAGTGATGCTAAGCCTGACATCTGTCAAAGTGACACCGCGTCCAGAAAAGGGATACAAGCAAGGTGGGCGATTATTCCTGGCCATGTCAACTTCCTCGGCATCTGTGAGGCTGAGTCCCCTTGGGTGTTGACAGAAGACCAGTTTGTGTGAAGGAGTCCCCGCCTATAGGAGGACCCTGTGGACCACGTCAGCCAAAGCCCAGCTCGGGCTCTGTGCCAGATCATTATCACATTTGTGTGTGAGCCAGGAAATGGGACCCCAGGTAGCGACTTTAAGGACCAGGAACATAAATTAAAATATTGCATCACATAACAGAAATGTGACATCAAAACCATTGCCGGTGGTATAGGACCCATTCTGGGGTGTGATTGTTGTTCCTTGAAGTGTATTTAATCTTTCCAGATGTCATTCTGGACTCAGAGGCAGTCAGAGTGGTATCTGTCATGACTGTGGTGCTTCCTGGGACTTGTACAGCCTGTACCAGCCCAACCTCTAGCCACGCCCACTTGGGAGCCCAGCCCCTGTGTTTGGTACAGTGGCAGAGGGTGTGAGAAACACTTGGTGGAAAGAGGTGGTGGGACTTGGGGCCCCATTCTGGCGTCTGTTTTCAGTTGCCAAGTTGTGTAACCTTTCGAAGCCTCAGTTTCTTCATCTCTAAGATGGGCATAAAAATATCTCCTGAAGGTATTGTA